AATATACCTACAAAACATAGCTTCTATTAAATGATATTCCACTTGATGAACAAATTATTTGTCCTCATTATTCATGGGTGAATGGTTAATAAAATTACTTGCTTTCTCATTTGTAGTATATATGCGAGAATTTTTAATCTTTAAGGAATATTTTTATAAGGAATATTTTAATTTTATTTATTTTTTTTTAACAAAAATAAAATCGATACCCATATTTTTATATTGCGGCTATCTCTCAGGTTAAGCATTAAAAAAAAATTTCATTATTTGGAATATTTTAACTTAACACTATAATTTTTTGATAAGGTCTTAATTTTATTTTCAGAGCAATCATCTAATTTAATGATCTATATAATAGTCTATGTGAAATAGTATATATTCACATCCTTTTTAAAAATTCACAAAGTTGTTATCAAAACTGTCAAAACTGTCAAAACTTTTGCAACCTATCGAAACTTATCAAAACTGTTGAAACTCGTCAAAATCCATCAAATTATCGAAACAATTTCTGAAAGTTTTGACTTTTACCAAAATGGGTTTAGGTTTTTACCCTACAACTATAGTAAAATATAATAGTAGTTAGCAATAGTATTCTAAAAGCTCATAGAAGTAAAGCCAAAAATATTTGTGAAGAGATATGTCATGTTTTCTACCATAAAAAGGAGGTTTTCCGGATGATAATTATGCCATAATTACACCAAGTCAATTAATATTAAAAGCAAAAGTATATAATCCTCCATTCAAGACTTCTGGAGCGATATATGGTAATACTCCTATATTTGGTCATCCGTTTTTTGCTTATTTGCTGGTCCTGATAATTCAAAATCTGAATATAAGATTGGGTTCCATCTTGCAAGATATTTCCACTGTGAAAAACCTTATGACAATATTTTAACAAATGTAATTTACAAAGGTTAGTAATTGCAAATGTAATTTTCTAATTTTATCTTTCCATAAAAAGTTGTTAAAATTATTTGAAAGATAACTTCTCAAATTTCCTATATCTGCAAATTTTACGATCAAAATAAAATCTTTGGTTTCTGGATCTTTAGTTATTCCATAAAATCTTAATCCGAAAATACTGATTCTATTATGCTTTAATCTATGTTTGTAATAAAATTTAAGCAAATATAAAAATGTCATATCATTTTCAAAAGAACCGTTTAATCAATGCAAATACCTCAATAAAAATTTTGCCGACATATTCCGTGATCCATTTGACCTTTTCAAAGCAACCGTCATATGTTTAGTATTTAATTTTTTCCAACTTTCCATCATCATGCTTTCTAAATTCCGATTGTCCATCAATCCATGTTGCAGGATTCACTTTAGCAAATCCTCCTTTTCCAATTTCTTTTATATCTGTGAATCTATAATAGGGCATCCATTCAAGATATAGTGGATATTTTTTATTTCTTTCCTTATACATTATTTCTTTGATGAATTTATCAATTTCAGAATTTCCACTAGTCCATCCTTCAATTATATATTAAGGGTCACATCCTTTACACCATAATTTCTCGGCAAGTGGTTTATCACAATAAGAACAATTTTTATCTAGGACATTTAATTTATCGATCTGGGTATCATTTTCATGGTTATTTATAATCATTTTTTTTTTTAAAAAAAAAATATATATATTTCTCTCCCAAAAAAAAATGATCAATTAGATAAAACATTTTTTCGGTATAATATTAATTGAAACGTGCATGACGTGTAACGGTTCATTTCATGTCACACCGCATGTTCCTCCAATTTGAATAATCTTTACGTATTACCTATAAAATTCAAAAATTGCATGTTTTGTGTATTGTTTAACAATTTGAGTTTAGAAAAATAAGTAATAATAATTTCTATGAAAGCTGAGTAATTTTTATTCATTTGTACCTTTATAAGTCACCCCTATATAAGCACGACCACTATGCTTTACAAGAAATTATGTTAGATATCAACGCACCAACTTAGGGTTGGTTCGATTCCGATATTTAGTATCGATTTGAGAATCGATTTATCGCATTATCGTTTCTTTAAGATTCGACTCGAAGATTCGATTTTCGAATTTCGATTAATCGAATATAATCGATCGATCCATTGATTTAGGTGCTTGAGAGACCCTAAAAAAATTAAATCCGAAAAATAATAAAATAAAATAATTAAATGAAAAAGATAGAGGATATATATATGCAAATTAAAAAATAATAAAAAATATGAAATTAAATAGATTATAGAATTAATCTTTTTTAGGCATAAAACGAGAGTTCTACCAGGTAGAAACATTTCCAGTTGTATAATTAAGTTCCCTTTGTGCTTTATTTAATCTTTCAGATTGTTTTGTTGTAAAGATGGTAGCCAAAATTAATAAGTTGCAACATATAATTGTAAAAAAAAAATTAATAAATTAAATTCAATTCTAATTGTGTAATTTATATATAATTATTTGTTTTTAATTTTTAATGATAAATTTTATTCAGATTATGTTTTTAGCGTTAAGATTAAGGTTATGGTTAGGGTTAAAGTTAGGTTGGATTATTTTTTTAAAAAAAATCAATAAATTTATTATTTTCTTTGTTATAGATGCTAAACTTTAAAAAATTAAGTTTTCCATATCTATCTCACGCCATGTTAGCGACTCGGGTCATCACACGGGTAAATCCGCTAGTTTGTTGGTAATAATTTATCGCGAAAATCTATTTTTTTATAATATTGTTGTATTCAGTACTTTCGTTTATGTATTTATAAACAATTTGTATTATAAGCAGAAAGTATTAATTGAATAAATAATGAAGTAATACTGACGCTAAAATTTATTTAATATTATTCGATCATGTTGCCTCAACGTCGGCGCTCTAAACTTTCGCTTTATCAAAATATTAAACTAAGTAAACAACTGCGCAATTACAAATTATTATATAAAAATTGTATAATAAACTACTAATAAAAATCGCATATATGAAATTTAAAAAGTTAAAGCGGCGAAAGCGAAAATATCGCGAAGGTGTTAAAGGAAGTATTTCGAAGTGAATTTATGCAAAGAAATATAACAAGAGCGAGCGTGGAATATCGAGCTGTTTAAGGAATTCCAGCTTGTATATATAAAAAAAAATTTAGGCCAGCCTGGCGTTCTGTATGTACAGTACATTTTGTCATACTGGCACGGAATTATGGAGATTTCGGGCGGAATTATCTTCAATGTAACAACATTATACAATTTACAAATGCGCCACGTGCTGAGCATTATTATATATGTCATTTACGTCTAAAAATAAATTCGATTTTTTATACGATTATCGATTAAAATCGATTTCGATTCGATTTTCGATTAAATTCGATTATATTAAATAGGTTCCGATCCATACCCCAACTTCAATGCTTTCAATGGAATCAAAAATTTGCGAAATCCTCTTAAAAATCAATTCTGCGGTTCAATTCAAACAATGATCTCCTCATATGGTAAGCCCATATTGTTTATGACGCAGCAAGGATATTGATTTTTTTTTTTTTTATTAATGTAAATATTACGATATATATTTTGAAATTTTCAAATTCATTGAAATAATGACAAGTTCAAGGACAATTAATGGAATCTCAGTTACTAGGACGTCACGCTTTTAACGATATGTTTTAAGAGAGAATGTTCTATCAAAAGTAATAATCATCAAGCTTGGAATTTTATATTATCAACGAATTTTAGTGCAATCAAAATTTTCAATAAAGATTTATCATTTAGGAAATCTGTACTATAATGTCACAAATGCTCACTCGGATATTCCAAACGAACATTTCAGACAATATCTCTTCGGATATCCAAATGATCATTTGTTTCAAATAAATTGAATAGAAATTTCAAAAATACATATTTATAAAGCTTTTTTAAGTTGTAAAAAAAAAAATTACACAAACATTTTTGCATTTACATTTTATATCAGAAAGTTAACTTCAGATACTTTTATAAACTTTAAGCCTATTTAACAATAATGAGATAATAAATAGTAAGGGCGGCATTTTTTAAAATAAAATCTTATGCTTGTTTATATTTCACATGCAAAGATTAATTATAAAATTAAATTAAACATGGAATTGGTCATTCGTAACTGTTCGAAGTGGTCGTTTGAGATATCCGATGTGATCATATGCATATGCGCATTTTGAGCAAGTGCATATCACAAAACGAACTTCGCTTTTGGAAATCCAAACGTATATTCCGATTTGGGATATCCCAAAGATATTTCGGATATCAACGCATTAGGGCTACAACATATAATTTCGATAGAGTCTATTCAATGTAAAATAGAAAACTTATTAACGTAACGTAAATTTTACTTTAGGAGAAATTATACTACTTGGAATCAAATATAACTATTTAATGGATTAAAATTTAGATCTTTACAATGTTTACTTTCTCTTAGAAAATTATAAATGAAAAGCAAGTATTTTAAAAAATTTAAATCAGTCCAATATTAAACTTTAACTATTAATAGAAATTATTTTTGTAGCATTTCGGAAAATGTCCAGTTAGTAAGTTAATCTTAAAAGTTCAAAATGTTAATATTAAATAATACTTGAGTTCGAAAAATGACTGATTTACCAAAAAAAAAAAATAAAATAAAAATAAAGAATTCTTCTCCAATACTTCTGGAGAACTCAATAAATTCTTTTTCTCTTTTTTTTTAAAAAAAAAATGATCAAAAAATTATAAATTTCGTGACATTCGGAGAATCGTTCCGTTAAATTCTTAAAAATTCCTTTTTATATCTTGATTAAAATAAGCTATCCAGAGAATATATTTTTTTTTCTTTAAATAAAGATAAAAATAAAAAAATGAATGTGAATAGCTATGAAATAAGGTTCAATAATTCATCAAATTAGATGTCTCAGATAATAATTACTTTTATAAATCATTTGCCGAGAATTTATATAAAAAATGTGATTCTTTGTGTATGATTGAAGGATTTATAGTGGAAATCCTGATATTGATAAATTTATTAAACATACAATGCATTATGAAAGCTTTGCAGAATATCACAGATATAAAAGAAATTGGTGAAGGAGGATTTGCCAAAGTATATTCTGCAACGTGGATCGATGGTAAATCAAAATTTAGAAAGATAGATGATGGAAGTTGGAACATATCAGATCCTTTTCCCGTGAAAGTTGCTTTGAAAAAGGTTAAATGATTCACAGAATATGTCAGCTGAATATTTTACGAGGTATATCACATTTATATATGATATTATTAAATAAAAATATTTCTAATTGCTTAAATTTTATTACAATAACTAGTTTAAAGCACATTGGGATTTTTGTAAAGTCAGTCCTTTTACATTAAAATATTATGGAATAACTAAGGATCCAGAGATCGTAAAATTTGCAAATATAGGAAATTTGAGAAGCTATCTTTTTAACAATATTTTATTGAAAAATAAAATTAGTTAATTAATAAATGTAATTTTTATTCTTAATTTTTTACATAAATTAAGATATTGGCATAAGGATTTTCAGAGTGAAAATATCTTACAAGATGGAAACCAATCTTATATTTCAGATTTGGATTATCAGAATATCTTATAAAATTAGTAAATATAAAATTAAATATTTTAATTAATCAATAAAGTATAATTTACATTATATAATGTTTAAGTAAAAATTTAGATTAATTTATGATAAAAAGTACAATTAAACAATATAATCAATGTAATAACTAACTAACAATATAAAGAATAAAAGTGAGTTACTCCTTATAATAATTAAATATTTTTAGATATAAAATTTAGTTTGAATTCTCAATATACATAACATATTAAAGTATATTATTAACAAAAATTAAATGACTTACAATCTATATATATCGATATTATTTCACAACCCAAAAATTTTTAAAAAAAAAATTTTTAATGTAGGGTATTAGAAACAGGCACTAATATGATATTTATTTATCTATTTTTAAAGAATTTTTGAATTAATTATTAAAATATCATAGCTCGGTAATGTGAAATGATTTTTTACCGTCTAATTCATATAACGTAATTTTTATTCATTGAAATTGGTGGAAATTTTATAGCATTTAAACGTGGTTACAAATTTTTTTTTTATTTTGCGAAAAATCTTTATTAATATTCATGTCGAATAAATAAATTTATTTTAAACTCGACTCGCTTACCGTCGTCTATTTTCTTTTTTTTCTTTTTTTGGATAAAATTTTTATCTTCTTTATTATTAACAGACATTGTAATTAATTATGGAAGTAAAAGTTGCTGAAAAAAAAGTTTTTTAAATTGTTTGTATGGCAATTATCATTTTTTTATGTTGGGACATTCATTGGCGTATCGGCAGAACAATTCTAATTTAAATTCAACCGGCATTATAAATTTGAACAGAGCTAACAAAATTTTGTAACTCAAAAAACCTTAATTCTGGCCGAGCTAAAGAAAATCTTTATCGGTTCTTTTAATTTTCAAATTTTATGGTGTACAGAATATGGCATAATATTACAATAATGTCTAAAAATATAAACGAAAATAAATTGATATATATTTTGGGTACACAAAGAAGTTTTTTTTTCCTAAAATAAGTCTGGATAATGCCAAATAATTGCTAGTATGTTAATAGATGGTTTATAAAATATTAGATATATATTTGATTTAGACCCTAGGTTCAATGATAAACTGATGATTTTCACGCTTTACTTTAGTGCATTTCCCAAAAAAAGATTAATAAAAGATTAAATTATGCGATAATGTCTGCAAATGACTTTGCAGAATACTTGAAATGTCCTCAAAAGATCTCAGACGACATCATTTCATTTCAAGTTAAAATGACCAAGATTTACCATCACTGTACGTGAAGAGTTCAAAATTTCTCATTATTTGAAATTTAATAAGTTTGAATCTATGAAATGTTAGGATGTAATCTATACCACCCATCGCTTTACAGCTACTGAAAAACAAAACTTACGAAAGTTTTTTTTTATGACTAAAATGGTTTGATATGAAATTAATCGATCAACCGGTGGAAGAAATTGTGAACGAATATTTCTCATCATCTGAAATACTACCATTTATATATATGTCATAAGAGAGCTCTCAAACGAATGGAAAATAAAAAAGTTGGATGAATAATTACAAGTAATGTCATTAATACGCTTTATTCTTAGATCAACATCATGTTTAATTGCTTTCCGTGATTATATTAAAAGTTCTGGTGATATTTTTAGATATATTTTTTTGTTTATATTAGGCTTCATTTCTGTTTTTGCAGTTAGAGGGAATTGAATACCTTCTCTTGAGGCAAGTAATAGTTTTATACTTTTCTCAATTTATTAATAAATCTCGTCCCTCTATCTCGACCATCTGTCAGAAATCACTGAACAATCTTTAAATTTTTAGAATTGGTTTATTGTCGAATATCCAAATGCTATTGATTACACTAAAAACAATCAAAGATACCTTGATCGATTCGATTAATCGTTCTGACAAGTCGTAACGAAATCTGGGAGTCCATTGTGTACCCGAACTAGTGTTCAATAGTGATCAACGTACGTACACAACGATATCTTTTGAGACTGAAACAAATTTTTTGAACTTTTTCTTCTGCTTGCCTATAAATATAAGAAGTTTGGTGATTACAACAATTTTAAATTTCTCTTTTAAATAACAAACCTGATAAATATCATTAACTTTATATTTTAAATTAAATAAATTTACTCGAGTTGAGTGATTACGTGACTGATCAAATATTTTAGAAAAATATAAGATGTGAAAATTGTAAAAAAATATGACATATTCATTACAGACGTACATTGAGTAGTCTAAAGCAAAATCAATAAAAAAAAAAAAATAATAATTTTAATCTTCCAAATCTTATAAAAATGAACAATATGAACTTTTTATTATAAAAAAATATTATAATGAATATTTCAGTAATTGAAAGAATTGGGTCGTTTTCATTAAAACCGACAGTAAATCACATGATACAATGTTGGGATTGAAATGAATCCAAATCCGATCTTGGGATCAATACTATTAAAACGGGAGTCATTGACGTCAGTGCAAACGCATTTTGCTTCTATGTCTTATGAAAGCACCATATGACGAAATGGCATTGTAACATATACCATTTTGGGCATGACTGGAATATTGGCTAGTTTAGATGTCCCTCTTCCGTCTTGGGTTTTCGGACTATCTTTGACTCTGCATAGAACTCCCCAACGAAAAAAAATAAAACAAAACATTTAAAGTTTTAACTTGTATTTTAAATTATTCAGAATTGGATAGACGAACAGAAAATTTCAAATGTCATGACCGTTAACTTTCCTTTTTAACGTTAAATAATAATTTATATCTATGAACTTTTATTTTAGAGAGTAATATTAAAATTTTATTATTAAAAGTCTTTCTGTTTTGTAATTTAAGAAGTATATTGAATCCTCTTAAGTCATTATAGAACGTATTTAGTATTTAACCGACCATACCATAAAATTTAACTCGGATAGGAATTAAAAATTTGTCGAGAGGTAGAGAAATTATATTGTAAAATAAAAATCTTAATTCTGGCCGAACATTGAACCAGATCAAAAATTTATGTAGTTTAATATTCGAAGTTAAGTAAACTCTACTTGTTAGTCATTCATATATTTTTAAAAATTATGTAAGAGTATTTTAATTTTTTTATTATCCGTTATCATAAAAAACGTTTATTATTATCTTTTTTTTTTGTAGTAAATTTATAATTTTTTCTTAAAATTCTATTATTTTGTCATGTTTAACTTTGCATGTCAGAAGTGAAGGTACTTAAGTTCTCCTTTATCGTTAATTGGCTTATTTCTCATTCTTGTCAATTATTTCAGTTATCTAATCGAGGATTGCTTGTTCGTAAAAATGGTTAAATTATTTCATAGGGATTGTAAATGGGCCAAGATCAAACATACACTAAATTATTTTAAAAGGAGTTTAAACCATTATATATGTTATATACAGTATGACTAAAGATTTATAATTCTGGAAAATATCAAATGTTGAATTTCATTCCAAATTTATATCAAAAAGTTTTAATTAAAACATTTTTCGTTAATTAAACAAGATTTTTATTTAAAATTATTTACAAATAATAGAACTTTAAAAATGTAAATGCTTGCGCTTAGCCGGATATAGTTCAAACTAGAACCGTTTCTCCTGAACACCACGTAGAGGTGGCAAG